TACTCGTCATGATGAGACTTCTTCCCTGTCTCTGTCAGTCCCTGCATCCTTTAATGTCTCCAGTTATCCCAGGTTCTCTCTGACTGTCTCCTTGGTGCATTTATACCTCTGTTCCTCCCTGTCCTCGTCTTCTGTTGTCTTCGTCTCCGTTATCAGTCATCATAATTTTACGATCTCTGTGCAAGTCTGCAAATTTCTTTATTAAATCATAAGATTCTTAAATTCATCAAGTCTCTCTGTGCCTGGGTCCTCATCACAAAACATGACATGACTGTTTTGTACATTTTAACACAATTTGTGACATTTGTGAAAAAGCAAAACACCTTTTTGAAAAGTCTGTAACAAAACCATCAAATCTGATAAAGGTTATTTAAATGCTGCAAAAGAAGAATGGATTGGAATAAAAAAAAATAAAAATACATATCCTAACCTTAATTACTGGGGAAGAAAAATGAATGATGCTCATAGTGAGCAAGAAGTAAACTGAGTGGACAGAGATTCACTTTTAATGTGTATGTATAATATAATACAGATAAACAAAAATACACTCCCAAAATAGAAGAGTCCTTGAAATGTACAAATGTACAAAATATTAATTAAAAAAAATGTAAATCTTAAAAATGGAGGCAACTTTGCCTATGGTACAATGTATACTATGTATGAAACGATCTTTACTGCATCTCCAAAAGTTGATTCTGTTCATCTGGACGTAGCGTTTTGTGGGAGAAACGTTTCATCACTCATCCAAGTGACTTCTTTAGTCTTAGCTGACTGCAAGTTTCCCCAATCTTATAAACAGTACATTTGCATAATGAATTGCAAATTTATAAGATTGGGGAAACCTGCAGTCAGCTGAGACTGAAGAAGTCACATGGATGAGTGATGAAACGTTTCTCCCACAAAACGCTACGTCCAGATGAACAGAATCAACTTTTGGAGATTTACTTTCCTGGATGATTGAGAATGCATCAAGACGATCTTTACTGCAGATACTAGTATGGCTCTGCAGATGTCACCTCACCTTGAGGTTGGCAAATCTGTCTGTCACTTTTTGGTGATCAACTCTCTCAAGCAGTTTATCTGTTTCAGTTTTGCCTGTCACTATTCCCTGTCCGTTTTCTTACCTGGTTCTTCAGGACCTTTCTCCTCACGTTCCCCTCTTTCCTCTGTCCCTCTTTGGACTGACAATTATACACAAATAGACTGTATTTAATTAGATGAAAAAATAACATTAATATGAAAAAAGTCCTCTCTCAGTGTACTTTCAACCAAAAGGCAAATAACCAAACCACATGTACCACTAATAAAAGATATAAATATTGAAACATTTACCCAACATTATCCTTTATTGATGGATTATTTGATCTTACACCTTTTTTTGAAAAACGTCCTTAAATCCATTATGAACCTGGCTGAACAAAACACACACACACACACACACACACACACACACACACACACACACACACACACACACA